TCCGAAGTGGGGCGCAGCTGGGGGTGAAGAGGTACATGCTTCGTTGCATGTCTTCTTCAGTGGCGCACTTGGGTGTGGAGTCGTCGGCGACGATCAGATTGTTGATAGTAGTTGTGAAGGGACGTGTCGGGGCCTGCATTCGCCGGCCGTTGAGAAGGTGCCCATCGGTCCTGCAGTCGACGCGGATCCCTCAGCATGGCAGAGAACACGAGACCGAAGAGGGTAGGCGCGAGGACGTAGCCCTGCTTCACTCCATTGGTCACTGTGAATACCTCGGAGATGGCACCGTTGTCCGTGACACGCTTCATCATTACATCATGGGACTGGCGTACAATGTGCGTGAATCGCTCGGGACAGTCGAACTTCTGCATGATACGCCACAGCTCTTCACGACTCACTGTGTCAAAGGCTCTCATCAGATCCACGACGGGGGGGGGGTGTAGAGGTGAGTCCACATGTCCTGGAACTTCTCTTATAACTGGCGGCCGGCCAGAATCCACATTGGCTTTCCGGCAGAAGTCCTTGCTCGAGGTGTCTGGTGAGGCGATTGAGGAGGACAGGGGCGAAGTTCTTCCCGGCGATGTTGAGTAGCGAGATGCCTCTGTGATTGTCACAGAGTTTTCGGCTGCCTTTCAGCTTGCAGAAGTGAAAGATGTTCGCGTCCTTGAATTCCCGAGTAACTTGTCCACAGCGCATCATCACCTGAAATTGCGCAGTGAGTTAGTCCATCAGTCGGCGGGCGCCGTGCTTGTAGATTTCGGCTGGGATTACTTTGAATCCGGATGCTTTTCCGCTGAAGGGTTGTTTCACGGCGAGGATGGTTTCTGGGAGGAAGGGCGAGAGATACTGGTCGACGTCGATTTCCACTTTGGGTAGCCGACCGATGGCGGCGTTGGAGATTGTAGAGGGACGGTTGAGAACGCTTTTGAAATGCTTGACCCAGCACCTCAGAATCTGTGACAGAAGCGTTGATCCATCGGGGCCGACAAGCTGCGCATTTGTTTTGGTTGCAGAGCCGTAAATTGGTGTAGTCTCTGCTAAGAAGTTCTTTGATTCGTTGCAGTCGGCGTAACCCTGGATCTCCTCGGTATTGCGAGACATAGAGGCGTTTTGCCTTCGTCACAGTCGTTGCTGGGCTAGGCGGCAACATTGGTAGAAGGCCGCTTTGTCCGCTTTGGTTGGACGATCGACGTGGACTGTGTTGTCTGTTCCTTTTGGCGAGCATGTTGTTGATGATGGCGTTGCTGTCGTCGGAGCAGTCCTGGTGCTGGGGACGTGCGCGGCCGAGGACAGTCAGGGCAGTCCGCACCGACAGGTGGAAGAATGTGTTGGTCAGCAGGAGGCGTTGTTGAGCGCAGGTTTGCAGAAGAAGGAGACCATTGTCGTTGCAGTCGGCAATTCCATGAGATCCCAGCACTTCTCTCCGGGCAGCATGGTCTGTGCCGACGCGGGGGTTGAAGTCACCAAGGACAGTTGACGTATCCGTCTTCGGCGCAGACGCCAAGAGGACGTGCTGTTCTTCGTAGAACTTTGTCTTCGCCTCGTCTGAGTCGGTCCTCGGTGGCCGTAGCCGCTGATGATTGTGACGAATTTACCCCCCCCCGAAAAGGTAGGTTCAGGCTCATCAGTCGGTCGTTGATGCCCTGCGATAGACAGGGCAATCGTCCCACGATGTGATTTCGGATGGCAAAGACGACGCCAGTGTCTCGTTTCGGCTTTGATCTGCTGCTCCAGAAGAAGTTGTAGTCGACACTCACCTCTTCCAGCTGGTCTTGTTCAGAGAA